TGAATGATCTCTAGCACTTGGATCGTTGACTTCTAGCTATATGCCCGCGGTATTGTTACAACGTACAGTATGCGGCCATCAACTTATCAGCGATCAGCATGGACCTACAGATACACAACTTGGAGTCTTGACTCTTGACGCAACAGCAGGCTAGTCACAATTCTGTTGGACACATATGCTCTTCATACAAGTGAGCACGCACGAGTAAGAAGCGTTGTCTTGAGAAAAGGTTTATGTAAATCAAGAACTTGTGTACAAGGGGAATGCTCTTTCAAGCTTACCATGGACAGTACCTAGGTACCCGAATAGGTAAATAACATGTTGATTCCCGGGCCGAGGACGGGAACGACCCCGTTATCGGCCCCGAACCTTGGCAGCACTCAGACCCCACCTAAATCACAACCGCAACCCGGTTTGCAAGATAGAGCAATGACAAGATGATATGAGTCGTTGCTTTTGGCCCTGTGTTTTTTTTTTATCGGAACGGAATCTCTTCCCAGGTTGCGAGGTCTACGATTCATCAGTCCAGGAACTAACGAGACTGCCTGTGTCTTTCTGTTCTGAACAGAATTGTCTTTCTCAGAGCCGAACTTCGACCATCCCTTAGTCCGGGAACCATCCAGTCCTAGGACAAGTTTTCCCACAAATCAACCCGCTCAGAGTTGCTGTTGCTAGATAATCCCAGAGTGTTGGCTATCACACAGAGGCATTCGCGTCGAGTAGTTCTCACGACAAGACCAGCATGAGGCTCTCATACACCGCTCCGAGCCTGCAACGCGGCCTGCGGGCTACAGCCACTCCCTTACCTGGCATCCGGAACTTGAGCATTTCATCGTCACCCTTGCCTTCTTGGGCCTCATCGCCAAATGGCGCAAGCCCGATGAGAAGACGACACAACGGCTCATCAGTCGCTCGGACCACAGCCTCACAATGGACACTGCTTCCTCTTCCTGGGGCAAGGACCTATTCCTCCTCCATTGAGGAGCCCTTGGGTAAGACCGCCCTCTATGACTTACACCTCGCCCACGGCGGCAAGATGGTCCCCTTCGGCGGCTTCCACATGCCAGTCCAATACTCCGCGCTCTCCGTCTCTGCCTCGCACGCCTTCACACGGACGCACGCCTCCCTCTTTGACGTCAGCCACATGGTTCAGCGTACCTTCCGCGGCCCAGGCGCCGTGGCCTTCTTACAGCGCGTCACGCCGGCCAACTTGGAAGCTCTGGCTGAGAACACCAGCACGCTCTCCACCTTGCTACATCCTACTACCGGTGGGATTGTGGACGACACCGTCATTACGAAATTGTCGCCCGACGAGTTCTATGTTGTCACCAACGCTGCCTGCCGCGCCAAGGACGACGCCTACTTGGCCGAGCAGCTGGCTACGTTTGATGGGCCCGCAGTAGAGCACACCAAGGCCGACGAGTCGGGTCTCATCGCTCTTCAGGGCCCGCTGAGCGCCGAGATCCTCACGTCTGTGCTCGGCGTGGATGTGTCGAAGCTCTATTTCGGCACATGTATCCGCGCCAAGGTGCAGCTGCCCAAATCCGTCTCCACCTCTGTGCTCATCAGCCGTGGTGGGTACACTGGCGAGGACGGGTTTGAGATCTCGATTCCCACGGCCGAGGACACCGTCGCCGTCACGGAGACGCTTTTGGCGAGCGCTGGCCCGGAGAAGCTGCAGCTTGCTGGACTGGGCGCCCGGGATAGCTTGCGGTTGGAGGCTGGCATGTGCTTGTATGGACATGATTTAGATGACTCCACTACGCCTGTGGAAGGAGGGCTAAGTTGGATCATTCCCAAGGACAGAAGGAAGGCGGACGCTGGTTTCCATGGCGCAGAGGTCATTGCGAAGCAGCTCGTGCCAAAGACCAAGGGCGGGTTGGGGGTGGAGAGGAGGCGGGTCGGATTCGTGGTAGAGGGTGCTCCCGCCAGAGAGGGAGCCGAGATTATGAGTAAGGATGGGGAGAAGATTGGCAAGATTACGAGTGGCTGTCCGAGCCCGACCCTGGGAAAGAACATTGCCATGGGGTACGTAAAGGACGGCTTCCACAAGTCGGGCACAGAGCTGGATGTCGTCGTTCGGGGACGGAACCGGAAGGCCACTGTGACCAAGATGCCATTTGTACCGACAAAATACTGGAAGGGAACAGCACCTGCATGATGTTCCTGCTATTCATGAGATTCTAATGAATCTTGCTCGCAACCTTCGTCAGCGGCATCTTTCTGCTTCCGGCGCCAAATGTCATCCATCTGCACGGCTCTTTGGCGTTTTGTCCTTCTTTTCAAGCATTGGTAGATGGCACCTCCCTCCATTACCTGCCAAGACCTCAGGCGAACCTGTGGCGGTGGAACCAAAGAGGTTATATAGCATGCGCAGCAAGCCGCCATAGCACAGGTAAAGCAAAGGATTCGATGCGCGAACACTGTCAATAGGCAATGGAGCATTTGGTTGGAAGATAGTGCATATTTGGATGATCAGATGTCTCCATTCTTCTTCGCTACCAAGATGAGGAAATTATAGATGAATGAAAAGATGTTAGAATGAGCGTTGATTTCTGCCGTTGCTCACATGAGTACCTAGGACAGTCTCTCGAAGGCTGTGGATGACGAGGCGGTATGTTGGCTGGGGACACAAAAGACACTGTTTCAGGGGTAGCAGTATTGGCTGCGACGCTTGCTGTGCCGCTGGAACCTATCAGGCCCGAAACCGAGGAGACCGAGGTGGGAAGCCCGTAATGATTGCAGGATTGTTAGTGGCTTCGCTTAGAGGCCGACATTGATCTTGTACAGTAATTGTTTACTTTTATACACTCGCATGTCCTCAACTTTGATCTCGTCTCAAAATCTCAAGTCTGTGCTTGTCTAGGTCTCCATCTCACAGTCTAGACCGGAATTTTGAGAATTGGCGAATTGCCAATTCTGAAGAACCTCGGGGCCAGTGTCCACGATGGCTTCCACCTTGGCCATTGTTGGGTCGCTTCTGGTCATCTACTGCATCTCGCTCCTCTACCGCATTCTGCAAAATCTTTTAAATGCCAAAAGATCAGGCCTGCCCTATATTATCATCCCGTGGGACCAAAATTCCTTTCTCTGGATGGTGGTATCGGTCCCCCTACGTCCATGGCTCGCCACCCACATGCCCACCTGGATCAACGATCGATTGTCGCTCACCATCTTCGGCTTTGAGTTCCATGAGAAACTCCGTGCCTTTCATCAGTACGCTGCACCACAGGGCAATAGCAAGACGTATGCCATTGTGACGACGGGCAAGTTCGAGCTCCATTCGCGAGACGCCGAGCTTGTGCATGAGGTCTTGAGAAGGCCGAACGATTTCTTTCCCATGACAGAGACGGAGCTGTTCATGAACAGATTCGGCTCGAACGTGTTGACAAGCACTGGGGAGTCGTGGGCAAGGCAACGCAAGGTGGTGGCGAGTGTCATCAATGAGCGAATCTCAAAGACCGTATTCCAGGAGACCATCCAGCAGACCAAGGGACTCGTCGACGAGGTACTCGCAGGCGGCGAGGTGGGCGAGAGCACACGAGTCTTCGACATGCTCAAAAAGATAACCATCAACGTCCTGAGTGGCGCCGGCATGGGTGCAAGTGTGGAGTGGGACGATGACAAGGGCGAGAAACCTGTCGCACCATACCGGCAGACATATATACAAGCTGTCAAACACGTTATCAACGGCGTAGCTGGCCCCATTCTGCTTCCAGAATGGTTTCTTTTGAATTATCCCAGCTTCTTGCCCGGCTATAAATCTCTCAAGCCGCTGGGATATGCAGTGCAAGAGTTTCCCGTCCACACGCGCCGCAAGCTCGAGGAAGAACGACAGCGGACCATTGCGGCGCACGGAGAAACGAGGAACAACATCATGGCGCAGCTTCTGCAAGCCTCGGAGCAGGGAGGCGACGCGGCCACCACCACCACCACCAAGAGTGGCCAAGCGCTCACTGAAGACGAAATGCTAGGCAACCTCTTCATCTTCACCGCCGCTGGCTTCGACACCACCGCCAACACGCTCGCCTACGCCCTCGCGTTGCTCTGTCGCCACCCTTCCTGGCAGGACTGGCTTTTTGAAGAAATAGACGCGGTTATGCCACCAGGCGACGATCCCTCGAAATCCCTGGACTACGCAGCAGTCTATCCGGCAGCTATCCGCATCCAAGCATGCATGCTTGAAGTTTTGCGCCTCTTCCCGCCCGTCTTACACATGGCCAAAATGACCAGAACGCCGCAAACGATCCACACTTCCAGGGGTGTATTTCACATTCCCGCTGGCGCTACTGTCTATTCGCATAATGTCGGGCTGCATATCGATCCTGAGGTATGGCGCAATCTGAATCTCCATGAAGGGGAGAATGCTAGCGATGTGGATGAGTTAGTATTCCGACCCACACGCTGGCTTATGAACGCTGCTTCAGCGTATAGCCAAGAAGGTGTAAAGCCTCCATTGCCACAGCAGCAACAGTTTTTTAGGCCTCCAAAGGGATCATTCGTGCCGTGGTCCTCAGGGCCGAGGGTCTGCCCTGGGCAGAAGATGGCGCAAGTAGAATTCACAGCTACCTTTTTGCGACTGTTTCAAGCACACAGAGTCGAGGCTGTGGCTTTGGATAAAGGAAACGGAGCAGTGGAGACGAAAGAGGAGTTGGAGAAGCGGCTTGATGACAGGATGAAGAGTAGTATCACTATGCTGACGTTACAGATGAATGATGTGTATGATGTGGCGGAAGGTGATGAGCGAGGTTTGAAGTTGAGACTCGTGCAGAGGCGCTAGTTTCTGTTAAGAAACGGCCTTACCGAGTGCCCAGCTAATAAAAGGAGACCTTCTATTTATATATACTATGTAGAATCAACACGTCCGCAGACCCGGAGGAGGCCAGGCGTGGCCACGGGCGGTCAAGGCTCACCACCACAACTCGAGACCAGAGAGCCAAAAAGACCAACAAGAAGACCATCAAGCACGCTATGTGCGTTTAATCTCACCACCAAAAGATCGATCTCGCCAGGGGTCGAACCTGGAACCTCCTGATCACAACGTAGATAATCGTAGTCAGACGCTCTGCCATTGAGCCACGAAACCATGACATGATGAGAATACACCCCTGTACTAGATCTATAACCTCGATGAATTCGTAGTCAGACGCCTGGCGTGACGGCAACAGACCAGTTGTCATGGATGACAGCTGGAACTGATCAACTGTGAACTGAAACGCTGTGTAGACAATGGAAAAGCCTGATAGCATTATGAGTAAGCGCAGCTGCTTCCACACACACATCTAGAAAGGTGCGTTAGCACCTTTTCTCCAGAGACATGATCTTCTCCGATGAGAGGAGACAACTGTCTTACCAGGACCGAGGACTTGAAGGAGGCACAGATGACCACTCACCGTTGAGGATGTCGCTAAAAACAACGCAGCCGCATTCACCTTCTTTGAGACTATCCATGCAATCCCGCCCTGTAAACAATGCGTTGTACAATTTCGCTCGTCAAAGCACTACATCCTCTTCAATATGCGCCCGTCCCACTCCCTTCCCGCCTACTTGTCATTATTTTCAAAGCTGTACTTTAGCCACCCACCCAACGCCTTCAGACTCTCCCACCTCACATTCTCATCCTCCTCGGCCATCAACTGCATCACTCTCGTCTTCAAACCCAGCTTCTCCAAGGTACCCCGCTTCTCAGGCACCTCTTTGACCAGATTGCCCACATCGTTGCACGCAATCGCCAGCACCGCCTTATCGTTGTCCCAAGGTTTAGACATGATTTCGGCCATCTTTTTGAGCACCTCGCCGTTCTCGTACTCGATAATTTTGCGGGCGTTTTCCGCCCAAAAGACTGTGCTTCTGTGCGGCGGCGACCAGCGCAGATGACCGGACGTGACCTCAGCCACGTACTCGTCAAAGGTCGTCTTGGTCTTGGTGTACTCCTCGAGCATGTCCTTGAGAGAGGTCAGGTCCTCTTGCAGGTCCGGGTCGGACAGGTGGCGGCTGCTGAGGTTTTGGAGAAGGGCAGGTAGACGGACTAGGACGGCTTGCGGGAGGAGGGTCCTTTGGTTGTTTCGCAGGAGATTGTAAAGGGTGGAGACGAGTAGGCGTGTAGTCTTTTCTTTCGGTGAGAGGCGGATGAGTTGGCTGTAGAGAAGGATAATATCGTACTCGCTTTCATTGAGTCAGCAATCATGCAAAGGACTTAGCCAGCGTCTCAATTGTCACTCACTCGTTGAGGTCTTCGCCCACTTCTTCAGCCTCGAAGCTCAGCTGCCACATGACAAGCAAGACATGGTATAACAACTGCAACCCAACACCGCCGCCCAAAGCGCCTTCGCCAGTCTTTGCGACACCTGTAGTGCCACTCCACAAGCTCGCAGCAGCATCTCCATTGGTCACGCCGCAAGCCGTTCTCAGAATATCTATGAGTGGCGCAACAGTCTCGCTACGCTGAGCCCAGAACTGCTGTCGCGAGATCTTTCCATAGAGCAGACCTGAGTACTCAAGGACACCAATATCCTGCAGGCCAGCGTCTGAGTTCTTGGTCAGGGACGAAAGATAGCTGTAGAGATGGGGGAGGGCCTTCTTGACGGTAGCCTCAGACTCGTCTCGCGAGCTGCCCATAAGGCTAGCCAGGACGGCGGAGGTGAGCAGCGGTATAGGGTCTTCGGGGTTCGAGGAGTGTGCCAGGAGGGGAAGAAAGTGCTTGTATGGGTCTCCATTCTTGAAGATGGCTTTCGAAAGGGACGGCACGGCTAGGCAAGATATTCATTAGCATGATTCACACCATCTCTGGAAGACTTCACGAGAGAGCTCTTACCGTCAAGCAGATCCTTCAGCAGAACCAAGATGTATTGGACAACCTCGGTGTGCCTCTTGCTAGCCAGCTCCAGCACACTGGGCTTCCCGGCTTCGCTGACGAAGAGTGTCCGGTAGCCATCGAGGTCGGCCTCAACGATTTCCTTGCGCGCGTCCTTCTTGGCCCTCTCGACGGCCTTGATCTTGGCCAATTGATCGTCTGTCAGAGTGCCGGCACGCACTTGGCCATCCCAAGGAATTGGCCGTTGCCGAATGTTGTTCTGCAACGATGCGAGATATGTAGGCGGGTCGAGCGACATGGTTATAATTGCCCTTGTTACTCGGAGTATGATCTCATCAGTTGGGGCGTTCGTTTCAACAGCTCGGTGGCTGTTTGAGGTGGGCAGAGCTGGTGGAGGAGAGGGGTGTTGCACTTAGGTTCGTCACTAAGAGAGGTTGATAGGTATGCAGTATGTATGGGTGTCAGCGGGAGCAGGCACGATTACGAAATGGTTCCCAGGATAGCAGCTCCTGCCTGGCTGGGGCTTGGCGGGCCCTTCTCGTTAGCAGGATAGTGGGTGCGGCTCCATAAGTCACTAACAATTTTGTGCCCCGGAGCAAGCAAAAGTTCATCATCACCATCAACAAGAGGAACGTCTCATATGAGGTCTCCTGCCCACACTGCCTCTCTTCTGATGAGTTATTCTCGGCGTAGAAACATTAAGCCTCTCTCTTACGGGATTGTGGAGTTCTCACAGCAGCCTCGACAATGATCTTCCACGATGCAAAGAGTGGCACACTAACAATTGGTCTTGTATGAACCGATCAATTGGAAAAGTATTGGAGGGTCTTCTTTTCGAGCCCATATTGTCATGACATTTGAATGGCTCTATTCAAGCTAGCCTTGAAGTTGAATAGAAAGTCTCGGCACCACCATCACTTAAACTTCTGGCCCTGGAAGAAGCCCCCCCTTTCCGCATCCGGCCAGACCGTCAACGCTCATCGTCGTTATTATCTTGCGTCAGACCAAGACGTCTCCTTCATTCGTTCATATGTCTTCACACCGATCCTTGGCCTTACTCCCAGATTCCCGCCTGCGCCTGAAAGAGACGTCTCGCAAGCTCACCATCTTCTGGTGCGTGGTCTCATGTCCATCGTTTCCCCTGAACGCCGAGAAATGCCTTCGGATGCCATTCAAACAACCGATAAAAAGTCATACAGGAATTTGCGCAAAAAAGCAAAGTGGGACTGGTACCTGGAATTCCCAAGCCTCGCGCACTGATTAAACAGCAGGCCGGCCCATCTCCATTTAGAGCCTCACGGATCTCCAACCCGGAGGCAGGTATCATGGTATGCAGATCTCTGAATCTTCACGCCTCTCAGTTGAAGAGGTTCGGGTCACTCTCGGGAGGAAAGGACGGACGCAATCTTGAGGATCTTTGTGGTGGCTGTTGAAGAGGGAAAAGAGATACATGTTGTGTATGTTGTTGTGTGATGGGAGAAACAAAGGGGCAGCCCTAATAGGCGGCTCCTAAGATCACCGCCGCGACGGCGCGCGCGATATGCGCGTCGTCTCGGTCCTGCGGCTGCGGCGTGTATCTCTTGTCCTGCCACCAGAGCTCGCGGAGCCTGCGTAATCGGGCGGTGGTTTAGTCATTGGCTCATACTCCTCCCTATACCGACCGCCTCCAGCACCTCGCGACGCTGAGCGGGCTACAGACTGCGCGCGCACCGGCGAGCGCACCACCGATGGGGGCCGCGAGGCGCCCCGAGGGTGATGAGACTGCACCGGCGTATAAACAGAGGAGTACGTATAGTCAGAGGAGAACTCACTTGGGCTGCTGGCTGTGTACGAGTCCGAGAAGTAGCTTGAGCTGACCTCGCTCCGCGGCCGGGAGGAGCGTTTCGCCGCGGTCGAGCTGCGCCTCTTCTTGTCTCGCCGCAAGCCCAACAACAACAGCAACGTGCCTAGCGCACCTGCCCCCGCCCAGCTGGCCTGGTTGGAGTCCTTCGCCTTCACCTTCTCAGAGGTACGCCGACTCTCGCCCGCCGTCGATCGGGCGGGATTCCGGGCGAACCAGCTGGTGTGCGAGTTGCGATTCGCATGGCTACTACCGCGGCGCGAGTAGCGCTCTTCTTCGACAATGACCGTCTCGCGATCGCGGTTGCGGTCTCGCTTCTTTGGACCGAAACCCAGGAGCGCAAGCAGGCCGTGCCACAGACCGCGCATTATGCAGCAGGCGCAGAGGGCGAGCAGGAGAACCACACCGGCGAGGACGCCAATCACGATGCCTGCTATGGCACCACCACTGAGGTTGGAGCCGCCCGTGCTTTCGGCGACGACGGTGCCGTTTGCGGACCCCGTGCTGGTGGCGCTTTCAATGGTGCCTGTATTGGTGCTCGTGGACCCGGTGCCTGTGACGCGATAGGGAGCGCTGTACTGGGTGGTGATGGTACTGCCAGACGTGGTCATGGTAGTAGCGTAGGTCGTCCATGAGGTGGCTGAGGTGGTGGCAGTGGCACCGCCCGCGCCAGCGACGGCACTGCACTGGCCCTCGTAGGCACAGTATTGGTCACTCGCACAACAAATGGCGCCGCAGGATGTCTCGCCTTCTGACTGAGCTACGCAGGTTGCGGTTGCGGTAGCTGCGCCCCAGTAGCTCGAGAAAGTGCTGGTGAAGGTCTCAGTCTCAGTCCAGGTTGAGGTGTAGTAGGACCAGCTATCGTCTTGTCGTGGATAGATTGTGGCCACTTTGGTTGCAACGGAGACGGTCGCGCATCCAGCAATGCTTCCCGAGGTTGTGCAGACCTCGCCGCCAGAGCAGCAGTGCTCATTTTCACCACCGCAATATGATGCGCAGAGGGGATTTTGCAAGAACCCATAGCTCAGGGTGTTGTGTAGGTCGTCTTTGGGGTATGGATTTGCGATTGCCGATTGGAGAAGGGCAGATAGGGAGAGCAGTGTCGGTATTGCCGCTGTTGCAGACAGCGAGCGGCACCGCGGTTGTGTGGTGAGCCGCATTGTTGTAGATAGTGCAACAGCTCACAGAATTTGTAAAGGGACGAAGTGACGGGAAAACAAGGCCGTAAAAGGCTGCGTTGTTTTTCTGTCGCGGCTTTTCTGCAAAAGTGGCTGGCAGCCAAGAAGCTGCAGCTGCAGGAGTGAGCCCCTCCTCACTAGCACCACCACCTGCGCGGTTCTCGGTACTGTATCGCGATTTGATACTTTGGACAATATTCGCTTCGGGCCGCGACGTGTCTCACTCGGAATTGGAGGATGAGCCAAGTGAAAGT